ACATTTTTCATGATCTCACTTTGATGTATCTATAGTATTTTTGAATTATCTCTTTGTATAATTTTTTGATAGTTGATGTAGATTACTATATACATATAACTATTACAGTCTATTGATGCCTGTTATCATTTTACCAACTGGAATAAAGTGTATAAACCTTACCTCTTTTTTTAACATCCCTTTACCCTCCCCCATTTATAATATAATTATCTTAAATATTTCCTCTGTATATAGGTAGAACTACATCAGATAGTGTTATAATTTTTGCTTCAACCATCAAACACAACTTAGAAAACTCAAAAGGAGAAGGAAAATCTGTCTTTATTGGTATTTTTTTCCTACTGTATTCTATTTTCCATTCTGATATTTCAATGGTGCATCCTTTATAGTTTCCTTTAACTTCTTTTGTCCATTCTTTTCAGGTAGGTCTACTGGCAACAAATTCTTTTAGTTTTTTATCATCTGAAAATCTCTTGACTTCTGTTTTATTCTTGAAGGATGTTTTTGCTGAATATAGGATTTGGAGTTAAGAATTCTTTCCTTTTTGAACTTGAAAAATACTTTTTTGTTTGCTTTTTTGTTTGTTTGTTTGTTATTTTAGCATATTTGCTTTTGACCTCTCTGGTTTCTAATGAGAAAGCCTCTGTTGTGAAAATAGATTATTTTCACCTATAAGGAGGTTGTAATTTCTCTCTCATTGCTCTCAAGATTTTTTCTTTGCCTCTATTTTTCAAAATTTTGATAATGATTATCTTGGTATATTTATTTGAATATATTCTGTTTAGGATTTGTTCGGCTTCTTGAATCCGTAGCTTTATGTTTTCTGCCAAATTTGGGAATGATCATAAATGAATCCTTGTGCAGTTAAAAAGAAAATATATATATATATATAGTTTTCAGTTTAAACCAAAACCTCATCCGATTATATTGAATAACTTTTCCTTAGACATTGACCTCCAAATCACACTTTTTAAATTGTCATTTAGTGCAGATTTTTTATGTATATTTTTTTCAATTAATATTTTTCAGCAAGGTCGGCTACAAATACCCTTACATATTTTTTCTACTGTCAAAATGTTCTCCAAGAAACCTGAATGTCTCCAAAAAATATTTCTTATTATGCTTATCAATGTTCTCATGTGTTTGTAACTTCTTTTGCATGTTGGAACTGTATAACCAAAGTCGTTATTGCCATAATATCAACCAACTCGAATCCTAACAGTCATAAACAGAAAGTGCAACACTAAGTTTGAAAACATGAAGCAAGAAAAAAAAAAAAAAGCCCAACCAATGGTTCTATTTCCCACTTATTTAACTTTTCAAGGGCACTTAGCAGTTAGAAGAAGATTATAAGTACAGACAGATTTCATGATTAGAAGGTTCATTAGTAAGAAGGTACAGAATACTAATCACAAGACTTTCATCTGCACTGACAAGGGCTGACCCAGCTAGCATTCATCAGTGACAGTGGAATTGCTCCCTGGTGGTACCAGCCACGGGCCAGGCGGAGAAAACATGTTCTTCATGGAGGAATTCATCAAAAATGAGCAGAGCTGTATCACACGCCATTGCTTTCCGGAGCTCCCCAGAGAACAGCTAGCATCTTATCTGAGCCAGTTTGTTTGGTCTGTAAAATGAAAAATGCTCAGGGGAATTTTGCATGTTAAAGAAAGTTTAAACTTTGGAATCTTGGAACAACACCCAACCTCACGAATCTGCACCTTGCATGATCTAATTGATCATGAATAAGTGCCCTTGTCAATATCCAATCTACAAGCAGAGGAGCAGACGCTCATATTGACAATTTAGGAATTATAAATGTTGTCAACTCTTGTAAATACTTCCACTTCTAAATATTGTGACACCGAAAATATCACTGTATTAATATCAATCAAAATTGCGTCTTTCATCTCTGGAAGGGCATTTTCACATTTCAGTTATAAACATATATTTAATGGCTCTTTTCCCAAATGTCACAATTTTCAACAGAATACACCCTCATCATCTGAAAGAATTTTATAAAGTTCCAAGCATTGGGCTTGGTGCTGTGATGGCCGAAACTAAACACAGCGTTTCCATGTGCGAAGGACTGACTGCTAATTTGTTGTTACATTAGCAAACTAAATAATTAGAAATTGTACAAAACAAAACACAACTGAGTGGAAGCGCTCGCCTCTGCAGTCAGACAAACCTGGGGATTTTGAGTCCTTGTGATTGCGGAACTAGGTACGAGGCCTCAGTTACTCATCTGTAAAACAGGAAGATACTGCCTACCACACACACAGGGTTGGGACAAGTCGTAGGTAAATGATTATTGTAACCAAACTCCAAATTGTGTAGTAAATTCTTCAAATATTATACAGAAAAACACCTACAGGGAAGCTCTCTGAGACGGGGAAAGTCTACTGGAGCTGAGACTTGGGCTTGGCCTTAAAAACTCTGTTTATTATAATAATAAAATTTATTATTTCACATTTTAATGTTTCTGAAATTGATGTTAGAATAAATGGGCAATAAATCAGATAATGATTAAATTACGATGCAGTTAGCATTGTCTATGTAACTGCCAACTTTTTAGACCCCCTCCAAGCAGGCGAACTCTAACCTGAATTTGCATCCTCACTATTGATTAAAACATCTTCACAACGATTACACTCTGATACACAATTAAAACAAAAAGGTTTTTAAAACAAAATGTGATTAAAGGATGCAGAATAAACACTTTTCAAACTAGATCATGAAACTTTACCTGCATTTAATTTTTAAATAAATACTATAGTTATAAATTTCAAAATTAAAAAAGTAAGTATAAAAATGCGTATTATAAAAAATATCTAACTCATCCCTCTCTCCCAGTGTTCTTGCCACAGGGAAATAAAGATATTGGATTTTTAAAAAATTTCTTATAATGATAGTTTATGCATATGTAAATGGATATATTTAATTTGGACATATTTAATTATAATCCCTTCTTTTTGTAACATAAATATTGCACACATACTATATATATATATAACTTTCATACCATCTTTTCACAATATTCTTTGGAGATTTTATGGGCAAATACCTAAAGAACTTTTTATCTTTTTTTTTTTTTTTTGCTTAAAAGCTGCTTAGTATACTATTAAATATTCAGACTGCATTTTAACCAGCCCCCTTTTGATGAACATATGAGGTTTTCTAAACATTTATAACTACAATAAAATCATGAATAATCTTCTACATGGAACATGGAATTTTCAAATTAAGAAAGGTTGATACAAGCCTATTCATTTTATTTGTTTATTTATTTACTTTGAGACAGAGTCTCACTCTGTTGCCCGGGCTAGAGTGCCGTGGCATCAGCCTAGCTCACAGCAACCTCAGACTCCTGGGCTCAAGCGAGCCTCTTGCCTGAGCCTCCCGAGTAGCTGGGACTACAAGGCACGCACCACCATGCGGGGCCAATTTTTTCTATTTTTAGTTGTTTTGGCTAATTTATTTCTATTTATAGTAGATACAGAGTCTCGCTCCTGCTCAGGCTGGTCTCGAACTCCTGAGCTCACGCAATCCTCCCACCTCAGCCTCCCAGAGTGCTAGGATTACAGGCATGAGCCACCGCGCCGGCCAAGCCTATTCATTTTGAATGGTGTGTATACGGTGTTGAAGAAAGGTGAATGGTCTGAGAATGAGGTCTTATCTGCTGGCATGCTGAAGTGGTTAGGAGATTTGAGAAAGAGCATTATAAGATTTTTCTAGTTAGAATAAAACTAGTAGTGTGAGAGATATAATTTGGCAATATGGCTTGATCAGAGAAGACAAAAATTGTAGTAAGGAACAGGTGGGAAATCAGGACCTAAATTCTGGAAGATTAACTCAGATGAGGGAAGCGAGCTAATACTCTCACAGTATATACAGCGGACAAAAATTCATCAAGAGTAGAATTAGTAAAAGTATCTGGTGAATTTTAATGCTGGGGAACAGGTTGTATGATCTTCCCCTGTGTATGGGCTACTTTGAGTCTGAGTGATCCTGGGAATGTTTGTGGCTAAGACAGCAGGTTGTGATCAATGTCTACAAGCACCTTACACTCCTGTCTCTCTGGATAAACATGTCTCTTTTGCGGTATAGATTACCACCGTTGTTCTCAGTTTTTCATCCACTTTTCAATAAGATCAAATCTTTATAGTTACCAGATCTTTATAGTTACCAGAACTTGAACTAGGTTAATGCCTAAAGCCATTAATATACCTCACACTGGACCTAGCCATCCACAGTTTGCTCCTGCAATCTGAAATTATTTACTATAATTGTTAAATCACCCAAGTTAAATTATTTGCATAATAGGGAAACAAATCTTCAAAAGTAATAATTATCACGAATTCTGTAAAAAATAACTAATTTTAAATGGATAAACTCCACTTCAGCAAGTAAAATCCCTTGCGAGTAGGTCAGAGAATAACGTTAGTAAAAAATATTAAGCTAAGTATCAAAGTATAAGACCCCATTCAGATATATGGGCAGGAAAAAAGACTTCAAAATATGTGATACAGAGTTAAAAATATGACAGAGCTTTATGCAAAACCAGTTATATATATATAGTATTTTAAGTGTTTTAAGTGATCAGTTTTAACAGTGGGAAAAGACTGTGTACTAGTACTAACACCTATCAGAGAATAAGGCATGCTGATTTTAACTAACACATGTTTTCAAGAAGAGTACAATTTTAAGAGCTTGAACAGTTTAATCGGAGGGACTGTATCGTAGTATTTAAAATAAATATATTGTAAAAATAAGCAAGCATGTTTGTATTTATTAATTATGGTAAAACAAAACTTCAAGAAATCATAGAAGATGTAATATTAAGATCAGGGTATAAAATGAGCTATGAGTTTATGGACAAAAAACTACCCCTAAATCATTTCCAGAACTCTGTCCATTTTATGTGACAGGTTAATTTTTCTTCTCTCTTGGCTTCATTTACCAACCACAGACATATGAGCTGTGAAGGAAGAGTCGGGTTTATGAACAGAAAAATTTACTTGTCTGTGAACTGTGCTCTTAAGACGAAGGTCGATACACAGGAGTATAGGGCGTCCCTTCAGGGTTGCCAGATGGTGACAATTGTGAGCCAGGTCAGTTGTCAGAAATTAATTCCTCTGTTAGCAGCAATTGGAGACATCCACCTACTGGGAGCCCTTTTGGGGAGGCGCTGTTATTAGCAGAAGAAAACTAAAGGCTTGAGGTGGGGGATGAATCCAGTCCAGCCTGAAAAAACTCTGTCCCAGGTTTGAAGACTCACCCCATCCTCCTGTGTGAGTCAGATGCGGAGAGAAGCTCTAAGCCTGGGTTTTCCGTGTGATCTGGGCAGAGATGGCACCTGCGGGTTCTGGGGCTCCGGCTCCTTCCTGAGACACTCGGGGCTCGGAGCCAGCCTGGACCAGACCACCTGCGGCACGCCAGCGGATGCTGTCCACGTAAGACCATGGCGCTTAGGAAAATCAACTACCTTCTCATCTCCTGCCTCAGTTGCTCCGTGCTCATCTCCATAAAAAGTAAGTCTTTCCCATTTATCGAGCTTTTGGGACTTCTTCCTGGCTTATTTCTCGCTTATTATATTATTATATTTCTTGCAAATAGTTCATACTGTGGCACGCTCTCCAAAACACTAAATACTAAGAAAAAAAAAGTTTTTTTTATTTATTGATTTATGTGTTGGGTGTGAGCGAGCATCCTGTGTTGAAGAAATCAGCAATACCAGTCAATGGGAACAGTCGGTTTTGTGATTCTGTGATTTCTAGTAGGTATTTAGGTCCAGAAAATGTTGTTTTCCTTGACCTTTCAAAGTGGTGGGGGAACAGGAGAGCAAAATAGTCGCCTAGAAAAGAAGATATCTTGTTGTGTTTGCACTTTTACAACATAGATCTGGAATTTTATAATTGCTATCCTTTATCTGTAAGTTCTGTTGCCTTTTATTCCCACATACTTACCTCCGCTTTTCAAGAGCACCATATTGCAACATTTGCTCTCATGATCAGGGGGGTAGTCACAGTGCTTTCCAAAGAATAACGAATGGTTCAAAGTATTTCTTTCACCAGAGAAATGGGCTATTCTGTGTGCTTCGGTTTTACAAATGAAGATCCTATTTTCCATAAACTTCCCCAGATAGAAACAAGGGCAGTGTTTCCGGGGCAATCTTGCCAGTTCTGCGGCAGCGTGGAAAATCAGAGGAGACCAAGTGGCCCCAGCTGTGTGTTTATGGAGACTGGCAGCCACCGAACACGCTCGAAGCGAAGACAGGGAGAGCGCGTGCTTGTCCAAGGGGCCGTGTGTGATTTGCGTCCGTTGAATCTGAATATCAATAAGGCAGAGCACAGAGCAGCCGCGGCTGCACGAGACCACTTGGCGTCAGTGCGCAGCGTGGTGCGATCTGGGTCACCTGTGGCTGCCCCAGCGAGCGTGTTACCTGCGCAGTTCACAGCCGAGCACGTCTCGGAGATTGGGCGCAGCTGCAGGTAGATGCTGTGGCCAGGTAGCTGAACGCAAGTACAGAGAAGTCGAACTTTAAACAAATGAATCGTAAGACACCTGATTGCAACACTCATGTGTGTGCGCGCGCACACACACACACAGAGATGATTTTTTGAGTGCTATATTTGTTAAAGAGTCCTTATTGAAACAGTCATTCCCCCTCTTTGAAACTTAAAGTGTGCCCCACTCGATGGAAAGCAGGGGAAGAGAAGTGCTGTGTTGAGATGTGCATGTGGGGAGAAGAAAGGGAAAAGAGGGAAGACTAGAAAGTGGAAAGGGAAGTGAGTTTATGGTTCATTTTGTAGCAAAGATTTGTCATTTCGATGCAACATGTTTGCAGCAGGCTGCTTTAAAGGAAATGGACATGTAACCTCTAAAGCATGCATCTCTTTTTGTTAGGGATATAACAACTATGAACTGGTAATTATATACACATCATTTGTGTTCTCTATCTTTGAGTGGGGGATTTTATTGATACAGTCTATCAATTTATTGATATTTATTTATGCATTCGTGTGCTTTGTAATTGTTTGATTTCTTCCCCAGCATAATATTTTTTATTAGTTTAAAAAAGAAACTTTGAAGCTTCATTTTCTTCAATTTTAAAGCAGACAGACATTTTTTCTCTGTCAATGTATTTGCTGGCACGGTGTGACAATATTGTCTTTTTAGTAAAAACACACGGTTTAGACTTTTTTTTTTTTGCCTGATCTTAAAACTCTCAGCAATCTTGCATCAGCCTTCATTTCCAACTCTTAGCACATAATACTCTTGATATAAATCCTATGTTCCAGCCAAAGGAATAAAACAGTATCTAATAGTAAAAATGGCTAATGTTGTATTAAGCATTTGATATATGCTATATTCAATTTAATTCTTGCAATAATCCTATCAGACAGATACTATTATAATCACCCACCTTTTACAAAAGAGGAAATCAAGACCATCACTATACCGGTATATCTCGAACTTCATTTGCATCAGAGAGCTGGCATGTTTGTTTAAGCAGCAGCCTCTCAAGTCTAGCCTCAGATATTTAGTGTATCTGGAGAGGATCTTAGGAACTTACAGTGTAACAAGCTCTCTGTTTAAAACTACAGGCATGCGCCACCATGCCCGGCTAATTTTTTCTATATGTATTAGTTGGCCAATTAATTTCTTTCTATTTATAGTAGAGATGGGGTCTCGCTCTTGCTCAGGCTGGTTTTGAACTCCTGACCTCGAGCAATCCACCTGCCTCTGCCTCCCAGACTGCTAGGATGACAGGCATGAGCCACCTCGGCCGGCCCAGCTCTTTTTTTCTTGACACTGACTAATATTCCATTGCATGGATGTACTACAGTGTGTGTGTCATTCACCTGTTGAAGGACACATTCTTGGCTGCCTCCACTTTGGAGTTATTACATTAGTCTCCTAGGGCTGCTAGAACACAGTACTACAAACTGGGTGGCTTCAAACAACAAAGTTTATTCTCTCATGGTTCTGGAGGCCCGTTGTCTGAAACCAAAAGGTGAAAGGGCCTTGTTGTCTCTGAGACTCTACTTGGACTCCTTCCTTGCCTTTTCCCAGCCTCTGGTGGAGGCCTTCAGTCCCTTGGCTTGCACTCTCTCACTCCAGTCTCTGCCCCTGCCATCACGTGTGTTCTCACTCATCTGTCTGTCTCTCACCTACTCTTCTGGTAAGGACATCCGTGATATTGAAGCAGGGTTCACCCTAATGACCTCACCTTCACTCGATCACATCTGCAAAGACCCTATTCGCAAATAAGGTCCCGTTCTCCAGTACTGAGCGTTAGGACTTTGACACATCTTCGGGGTACAATATTCAACCTGTAAAATCTATTATGAACAGAACTCTGATATACACTAAAATGACTTGGCTGGGCGCGGTGGCTCACGCCTGTCACCCTAGCACTCTAGGAGGCAGCGGCCGGAGGATCGCTCAAGGTCAGGAGTTCAAAACCAGCTCTGAGCAAGAGCGAGACCCCGTCTCTACTAAAAGTAGAAAGAAATTAATTGGCCAACTAAAAATTATATGGAGAGAAAATTAGCCGGGCATGATGGCATGTACCTGTAGTCCCAGCTACTCCGGAAGAGGCTGAGGCAGGAGACTCACTTGAGCCCAGGTGTTTGAGGTTGCTGTGAGCTAGGCTGACGCCACGGCACTGTAGCCCAGGCAACAGAGTGAGACTCTGTCTCAAAAAAAAAAAATAAAATAAAAAAATAAGAAGTATACTAAAACTACTTGTTTAATACCACTTTTATTGGGCAAAATTAACCTTGTATGCAAATTGGATTATAATGGTATTTTTAAAAGCATAGCCAGGGCTCAACAAATAGATGAGTCACATCATGAGATGTGCTATGAGTGTCCATGCATTAACATGTGACATAAGAAAGATTATACTGAACAATGTGCCCATGTTTTTCTCTTATTTTTCTCCCTTCTTTACACTGTCCTCACTCTCCACATGCTCGATTCGAATTAAGTGCTCAGAAATTTTTTTTTACCTAAATTTGCCATATGAAATTAATTTAGAATCTGATTAATATACAGGGTGGCAGTAGAAATGGAATAAATGTGTTTTCATATTTTCTTAGGACAAATAGCTCTCTTTCTTATATGAATGTCCAATTCTTTAACCTACTTTTTTTTTCCCCATAAACTACATTCATTTACTTGGGTTACCAAAAGATTATGATGTCTTTCATTAGTGATCCAAAACACTGATTATAAGTGTCTTTGTTGTGCATGTATTGATTGCTGTGTTTATTACTATAATGCCATCCTTTACTTTCCTTTTATGTTTCTGCCACACAGTAAAATTTGAGGAAGGAGCAGAAAGTTTATTGGTTTTAGAGGGAAATGGAGTAAGGCTAGTTATCCCCAGTCCAAGATAGGATAATTAATAAATATTAAAAGTTTAACATTTATTCACTCATTTCTTCATTTACTCATTTATACAACAAATACTGTGTTTCCTGGAAAATAAGACAGGGTCTTATATTTATTCATCCTCAAGAAGACACCCTCGGGCTTATTTTCAGGGGATGTGTTATTTTTTTTAAATATGGTACAGCAATCTACATTTATTCAAATATAGTGAAGTCGTCTTCTTCTGGAACATCATCATAACTCTCCAAACCCCGAATTCCATCCTGAATTTCTTAAGACTCTATTTCCTTTAGAACCACCGGCCCCGATCTCTCATGTCCAGCAATAGAGCTCTCACGGGCAGATGAGAAGGGCTGCTCGTCTCTTTCCCGCTCCGCAACGACACGCATGGGTTGTGCAGATGCGCTGCGCAGCCATGCCCGTCACTAGGGCTTATTTTCGGGGTAGGGCTTCTATTGCGCAAATGCTTAGAAATCCTTCTAGGGCTTATTTTATGGGTAAGTCTTATTTTGGGGAAACACAGTATTTATTGAGGGCCATAAGTCTACGTGTCTGACGCCATTCCAGGCTCTGACAGTGCAGTAGTAGGGCATTCCGCAACCTTGTGGGCACCAGGAACAGGTTTCATGGAAAACGATTTTTCCCCAGACGGGGGTAGGAGCTCTGCTGCCGGGTCCCTAACAAGCCACAGACAGATGTCTGGTCTGCTGCTGGGGGTTGGGTATGACTATTCTAGTCATAGATTTCGGCAAACACCATAAATTAGAGTTTGAGAGTGGTGGGATTTTAGAAACAAAGTTAGTCCTAGATAATCACATATCTATGACACCTTTGAGACTTCTCCAAATTCAAAATGTTTACAATTTCAACTCTTATCTTATTCCACTCTTAGGACTAAAATCTGCCAAGGCAGAAATTGCTGATACGTAACCTAGATAAACCGTGTTCTGTAGTCTTGTTGGTTCTCCACGTAACTGTCCCAATAATTCCCAGATGGATGATTCTTTTCTCTCCATTCCAAATTCTCTGGACCTTTGAGACATGTGTATTGTAGGAGAATTGGTGCGAGCAGGGTGCTAATGAGGCTGAGTTTATGGTTCGGCCTCAACACAATTCAGTTTGCTTTGCA